CCTCAGCCTTAGTTCCCCCAGGTCACATCAGGCCCTGTCTCCACCACCAATTGGCATGGTCTATGCCACAGGTGTGGACAAGGTAACTATCTCATTACAATTATATGAACTCACAGAGACTGAAGCAGCAGGAACAGGGCTGCACTGGCTTGCATCAGGTCCTCTGCTTACATATTATAACTTCAAGTTTAGTGTTTTCTGGGACTCCTGCATATGTGAATTAGTGAGTCTTTAATTCTTGTGCTTTCTCTTAGGGCTCTTTTCCTTCTGTTGTTTTACCTTGTCCAACTCTGATTTGGTGTTTTGTTTTGTTTTGTTTTACCTCATTATATTTTATTTTGTTATGTTTTGTTGTTATCTGTGAGAGGCCTGTTTTTTTCTAGTAAGAGGCAAAAAAGAAGTGGATCCTGATGGGAGTGCTGATGGGGAGGAACTGGAAGTAGAGAGAGGAAAAACTGTAATCAGAATATATTGTGGGTAAAATGAATCTATTTTCAATAAAAGGAAAACAATATAATTCTCCACACTGTAATTGTCTTATCATGGAAAGGAGAAGAATTGGAGATACATAACACTGAACATGTCTAATCATACCATCATGTGTACATTTTACACCTGCATTCAATTGACTTCTAAGATGATATGCCTTAAGCAACATGTGATGGAAAGGATCTTCTATTTCTCTCTAAGATGCATGGAATATAGTAGAACAGATGGTATCCATACGGGACTCTGCATTACACTGTGACAAGGAGAAAAGCTGTAACCTCAGAAATAAGCAATTCTAGGTCAATATATCAATATACTTTGTTATGATATGCAGTAAGATGGGATCTTTGGCAGATACCATGGAGTTGAGGGATAAATGGTAAGTGAGAGATAGATAGAGACCTGCAAATATAAATTATGGGGAAAATTTATTGGGGAAAGAGAATGGAGTAAGAGAAGGGAAGGAGAGTGGGGAGGGAGAAGAGAGAGACAGACAGACAGAGAGACAGAAAAAGACCTGAGAGAAACAGCAGAATGAGAGAGAGAAATTAGGAGGACCTGGTCTCCAAAAGGGACCTTAGCACCTGTATACAGAGCCATAGTACTACCTGCACAGAGGGGTGACACACTGTGCCAGGTTCCCAAGAGGTGGGACCAGATTTTCCTGTATTACACCACTTTGCGCAACAGCTCTGGAGAAATTGGTGTGAGTTCTAGCTTTTCAAAACTTTAAGAGGACCCAGGGGGACAATATATCAATAATCTGTACCCAATTAGAAAAAAATGGATGTAATTGTTATGTTGTCCCTGGTTCCCCCAGGAATAGAACCATGTGTTAGCACAGACATAGGAGAGTTCATCCTTGGAGAAATCATAGTATAACCACAAAACAATGATTTGAGACAGTGGTGGCTCATAGAGATATTTGCTTTCCTAGTTCCCCGGGAGAGCCATTATTTATAAGTCAATAATGAACCAAGTTGAAGGCTGATTATGGTGACAAGCATCTTGTTTCTGAAGTCTATGTTATTTAAAGAATTTAAAAAGAAGATCCAAAGTTGGGAAGAGCGACTGTTGGGTGAGGTCTCCATAGGTACTGGATCTCTACATTCATTGTGTATGTGTATGAAAGTCCCCCCCCAAAAAAATAAATAAGAACTACTATAAAATTGTTGACAATTGAAACTCTTTAATAAATCACTATCCAGAACTGAAAAATAAATCTTAGTTTTATGGTCATTTTAAAAAATTCGGTGGCCAGTTTATATTTTTTCTTTTTCTATGAAAACTTTATAATATATTTTGATCATAGTGTCCCTCATCTCCTCCCAGATCCTCCCTATCCAACACCCATCCAACAGTAGGCTAGGCCCTTCCACGTTAATCACTAATCAGGGTAGTCCACAAACTTGCCTGTGGGTCAGTCTTCTAGAGATATTTTTTCAGTTAAGATTCCCTCTAGACCAGGATGTCTAGGTTTGTGTCAATTTGACAAAAAGCAAACACCACAGTGACAAGACATAATAATTAAGTGCCACATGCTTAAAAATAAGCATAAGAGTAGTATTAGTGTTTCTTACAAAGCAAGATGAATAATGAAGGAGTTACTTATACTTACATGTATTTGAATATTGCCTAATTTACACATGCATGGAAACTTTAAAATATGTCATTTTTTCATTGTAATTATTTCTAAATTTCTTTATTCTTTAAAAATTGAAGAAATTTATGCAATGTGTTAGATCATATTTATACCACACTCTCCCCCTCCAACTTGCCAAGGGACCACCTACCATGTTTTCATCCCAAAGTCATGGCCTTCTTCTAAACGTTTTTGCTTTTTTATTTCTTAACCCATTGAAACAAACCAGTGTTCCCCTATTGTGCATAGGCAACCAGTCATCTACTAGGAAATGGGGAACCCAGCAGTGGCCACACTCCTGAAGAAAAGTAACTTTCTCTCCCCAGCCATCAACTGCCAATTGCTCTTCGGCTAGAGATGGACATTTTGAGCCACTCTCCTTTATGCTGGAATTTGCAACTCTCTTGATCTTGTGAAGGCCTTGTGTGGATAACTATAGCTACCTTGGGTTCTTGCATGCAACAGCTACATCGTGTCCAGGGAAAATCACTTTACAGCCATTCCTTCCCCAATTTACCCCTCTTACATTCTTTACTCTATCTTACATTTTTAGTTTTGATTAACATAGTCTTATCTCTCTTCCCAATGCCCTTCCCTCCCACCCTTAGTCTGAAAGACCCCCAGAGACCCCAAGAGTTTGGAGCCTGTCAGGGGGAAGGCCCTTGCTCCCAAGAGACAAGACAAGACCACTGGATGCAAGTGCAAGAGGTTGTTTATTGTTTACACAGGTACCTGTGGACGCTTCAGTCTTTCGAGGGACTGAGCGTGCTGAGGTTAAAACTCAGGCAGTTTATATAGGGTTGGGGTGGCAAGAAGCAGGCTTACAGAAGCAGAAGCATGGTTAGAGGGATTTCATTGTTTCATCTAAATGTAGCAGTTGTAGTTAACCAAGGACAGTTGGTTATTCGGGTTGGGCACAAAGAATACAAAGAATTCAGTTATGACTCTCTCAGCATACTGGACACTGTCCTGCTGACCTTGCTTTGGTCCAAGCTGCAGACCACAGATATCTGGTTGGCGTTGAATGAGGGCAGCACCTGGTTCCCTCCTGTACTTTTTTCATAACTTGACCTTGGCAAATTAGCAAGAGCAATTTAAACAGGCAATAAGCATAGTGGGGGTCTTTCAAGTCATTTACCCCTCAGTATTCTCCCTTGCTCTTTCATATCACACATATTCTACTAACTCCTCTTAGAAGATTTAACTTGAATTTCAAGATCATCGTTTTCCAAGATCATAGCTTTCCAAACAACTTCTTTGTGCACACTTCATTTTGTTTAAATCTACCTCCGGCCCCCATTTCTCCATACACATCCCCCCATCACATGGCACGCCTGAACACTTCTGACCCCAAGATTCTATTTCTTTACTTCCATTTCACCTAAATTCTAATACCCCTCTCCCTAAAGGTATTCACAGAAAATAAGCCATTAGTTGTTTCCTGGCATTAATGCATACTCTGTGTTAAATATGCAAAACAATATGTGAACCTAAGATATGAAACCTCATATGAAAGATAACATGAGTCATTTTTTTTTGTGACCTGATCTGCATTCAACTTAAGTTTTCATGAATTTATTTTCATACATTTGCTTGTAAATGTCATGGTTTTGTTTTCTTTTGCAGCTCATTAATATTACATTGTGCTTATATACCTCAGTTTTTATTTTCCATTTTTCAGTTAATAGACTTCTAAGTTGATTCCATTTCCTGCCTACTTGAATACAGCTGCAATGAACATGGAAGTGCAATTGTCTATGTAGTAAGGTATGAAGTCCTTTGTGTATATTCCAAGACCTGATAAAGCTGGATCAAATGGAGGATCTATTTCTAGTCTTTGAGAAACTCACACACTGATTTTCAGAAAGACATCATTATATATTAACTTACCAGTTTTGAAAATTAAAAAAAAATAACCTGGCATTGGTGGCTCATGCCTTTAATCCCAGTACTTTGGAAGCAAGGGCAGATTGATCTCTGAGTTTCAGATCAGCCTAGTCTACAAAGCATGCTCCAGGACAGTCTGGGGTACACAGAGAAACCCCATTTCAAAAAACCAACACACAAATTTTTGGAAAAAAGTTAACTGGAGTTATAATAGGTGTTATTATGAGGGATGTCCTTCTTTATATATGTTTCTTTTATTGGATGATGAATAGAACACTGATTGGCCAATAGAGGCAAGAAGATAGGCAAGGCTAGGAGATGAGGCAGTTCTGGGGAGAGAGGGAGGGAAAGTAGCTTGGAGAGAACCATACTGATAAAGGAGCAACATGCTGTTTTACTGGTAAGCCACAGTCTTGTGGTAATGCACATTAATAGAAATGGGTTTATAATTAAGAAAGTGCTAGCCAGTAAGAAGTCCTAGCCATCGGCCAACAGTTTATAAATTCATATTCATCTTTACCTGTTTATTTGCGGCTAATTGGCTGAGGGACTAGGCTGGAAAGAAAATCTAGCAACAGTGTTACTCATGAAAATAAATTCAAAGTTTATTCTAAACTTAAAAGTGAAATTAAACAATTCACATACAGGAGAAATATTTCTGTTTTCTCGATAAAGGAAAAATCTTTTATATAGAAGGCCATAAAATTAGTTAATAATAAAAGGAAAATGACTGGAATCATATAAAATTCTTATATTCCTAAAGGTGGGACACCTTTATGGTATGGTATGGAAGTGTTTGCAAAACAAGCAAGCAAGCAATCCCCCAAGATGAACAAAACAATTAAAGAGAAATAAAACCTTTGAGGGTAAACACCAGCATGAAAAGCACAGCCTGAACACTCACTAAAGAGCACCAAGTCATAGAAAGACATGTGCAGGACTGAGAAGTTCTCAAATACAGAAAGAGGGAAGACCATGCTCCTCACTGTGAACACATTTTCCTGCTGAGGATATTTCTCAGTGCTCCCTTCATGTCCCGATTCCTCAGACTGTAGATAAAAGGATTCAGCATGGGTGTGACCATAGTGTACAGCACAGACACAATGACATCCTTATCATTAGTGTTATTGGCGGAGGGGAAAAACTATAATCCAATAATGGCTCCGTAGTACAAAGAAACTACACAGAGGTGGGAGCCACATGTAGACAAGGCTTTGCAGATTCCCTTGATGGAAGGAGTTCTCAGGATGCTGGCTCCAATGTGGCCATAAGAGACCAGAATGCATATGAATGGCACAGTAATAACTACCACTGCTAAAGTGAGAATAACTAGCTCATTGATAGTAGTATCTGAGCTGGACAGTTTAAGTAAAGCAGAGAGGTCACAGAAAAAATGGTGGACAATATTGTCTCTAAAGAGAGAGAGACGAGCAAATAGAAGAGTGTGCACAAGGCCATTGGTAGAGGAAAATACCCAGGACACTATCACTAGCAGTACACAGAGGCTCTGACTCATGATGGTGGTATAGTGCAGAGGGTGACAGATGGCCACATACCTGTCATAGGCCATGGAAGTGAGAAGAAAGTTATCAATACACCCAAACAATAAGAAAAATATACCTGGGAAATACACCCAGCATATGAGATGGACTGACTGTGTGTCAGCATATTCATGAGCATCTTAGGAGCTGTGACTGATGAGAAAGAGATGTCTGTGAAGGCCAAGTGGCTGAGGAAGAAGTACATGGGGGTGTGGAGGTGAGAGTCTAGCCTGATGAGCAGGATGATGAGCAGGTTCCCCAGCACCGTGGTCAGGTACATGGCCAGAAAGAGGACAGAGTACATGCCTTGGTCCTCTGGTCTGATGGGAAGCCCCAGGAGGATGAACTCAGATGTGCTGGTCTGGTTATTCTTCATCATTTTGTTCTCTTTAGCTACATATGAAAAGGATGATATGAATGAAGCAGAGGTCATTGCATCTCTTATGGAATTATAGCATGTCTTTTTAATTAGTCAGAATGTATGCTCTAACTGGAATATCTTGAGTTTTTGCCAAATTGTTGGGTTAGTGATTATGTGACTGTGTTATGCCTGCCTAGAAGCCAACTCAAATTGATTGGAGGGAAAAATGGAAAACACCAGAGTGAGTATCAGCTTTCTTCAGGTACAACCAGAGGTGAGGTTAGTCCTTGAAAAAAAAATCTGAGATTTCAAATAAGAGTGTAAGGTAGAGTCACTAAGTAACAAATAGAAATACAGCAAATGACTTCCAGCAAATGGCTGGTAGGACTGACTTAAACCCACCTCCCACTCCCCATCCAAACTTCTAAAATACTTCTTGGATATGATTTATTTCCACTTACCATGTGTAAGCTCCAAAATATCATAATCTACAGGCCAATCTTGGGGGTTTCTAAAGCTGGTGACACACCTCAGGTACTCCATTAATTCTTCCTTTAAGACAGTTCTTTCCTATCCAACAATTCAGTATTCCATCACCAGATACAGGGAAAAGGGAATCCTCATCTCATCCAATACACATTCACAAGTCCTCTGTACATAGTCTCTCTGTTCAGGCTGGTCCATTCTCATTCAAGCCCACAGAAATCCTTAATTCTCCCAGTTACATCCAGAATCTACCAGAGAGGAGGTTCTTTGTGAATGTCTGTCTGGCATAAACATACAGTAGTTCACAAGCTTGGTTTCTTACTTCTGATTCTTAACTAATTTTTGTTATATTACATTACTTATATTTGTAAATATGCTAATTCTTCCTCCTTTTTCAAATTTGTTGACTTTAAACCTACTCATTGTCACAATAATTTCATATTAAGGAAAGAAAACATGTGAAACAGCTACTAAAATACAGACTTGACAATCTCTCAAAAATTATTAGCTCTGAACGTGTTGATTTTTGAGAATTACATAATAATCTTGTCCACGATTTCTTTGAAGAGCTAACTGAAAATTATAGTAAAATATAAAGAAGTATATAAATCATTTCAATTTGATTGAAATATGTTGAAAATGTGTATATTATTTATCCTACTGCATTAAAAATCATGTAATGCTGTTATGAAGATGAACTACACCTTATTTTGATACTTATTTCATAATAATAATACAAACTAATGTATCTCAGTGAAAATGGCAATTATCTATCTGCTGGAGATGTGGGTTATTTGTAATAATTGTTATATTTTAAGTTCTTTTGCACAAATATGTAATATGTGTATAAATCAATTTCTAAAAGTGTAATTAGATAGTACTTATATTTATGATTTTTACATATTGTCCAATTATAAAAAGATAGGGAGACACGGAATTCTATTCCTACATATTCTTTAAAGAAATCTTTAATATAAGGATTTTTCATGAAAATTATTTTTATAAAAAAACATGCTCAGAGAGTACAGAGTGAGGGCATTTGAGGAACAGAAAATTCAAGTCTATAGTTAGCAGGAAAAGATACGAATTAGAGGACTGTCAGGAAGCCTACATGTACAACATCCTTTCTGCTACATTAGAAATCTTCATTTTGTTGTCAGAAACAGGGCCAAACAAAAGTCTAAGTAAAGGTTTTTAGAGGCTTGTCATCTGCTGGTACTGATTGAAACAGAATCTGGGAATTTGAATAGTGATTCCACTAGTAGGTACAAAATAATTCCCCTTTCTATGTGAATTCTTGCAGCACAGAAGACTCAAAATATATTGATTTAGTACAAAATTTGAGAAAATATCCAAGAAGATGATGGAAGTCAAAGAAAAGCAAAGAAATGTATTCCCTAACTTTTCATCTCAAAATTAGATATAAAATCACAGAGAATGAAACTTTGCTGTCACCCTACTATTCTTTCAAATTTTAAATAGATGATCAAGGAAAGTTATTCTACAAGAATATATCTGTCTTGGTGTGTCATGAAGAGCAGTAGACCATAGGGAGAAGTCATACACACTCCAAACACTTACACATAAGGACATCTAAGGTTGCACAGTCATGCTACTTCTCATAAATTCTATTTCCACTCTGATATGGGCCTTTACAATAAGCACAGATACTTTACTTACAAGTTATGAAAGCTTCTTCCATTTCTTTATAGAATGTAGAGAATATAGTGAAACTGGCAGAGTGTACGGTGCTCAGTGATCCACTATGAGTAACAGAAGGTGTGCAGCATGCAGCCTACTGTGAGAGATATACATGGTTGTTCGTGGCCCTGAGAAACCAGTGTGGGTTTCAATTTTCTAGTCCATGATGAGGACCTGGGGGTGATCCTTTATGCCTGGCCCCTGACTAGGGACAAGTTATATATGATTGCATCATTACCTTGGGCTTCTCCAGGGATACAACTGTTTGCTGAAGAAGACCCAAGAGAGTTCATCTTTGGAGGAATTGTGATAAGGCAACTAATAGGTGGTGAGCAAAGGTTATCACTTGCAATTTGGAATTCGAGTTTCTTGTGATATACAAAAATATAAACAGAAAGACTAGTGCCATTTTTTTCTCCAATATGTGAAAACTGAAAGAAAAAGACATCCTGAAAATTGAAAACAATCCACTCTGGGAGAGAGCAGGATAAAAAGATGCAGAAGTGGAGATGATAAAAGGGGGAAACAGAATGTTTACTTGATCAAAGTTCTATGTGTGTATAGGACAAAGTCACAATGAAAGTACTTTGTACACTGGTGTGATTCAATATTTTTAATAAAAATAAATGTTACAGCAATCTATAAAAGTGAAGTTAAAGATCTTTATTTTGAACAGATGCAGCTTCACAAGGATTAAATTTCAAAATGCATTGTTTTAAGTGGACATAGAAAGCAACACATTTAAGTGAAGGGCAGAAATGTATCATTTTTCATTTTAAAACACATGGCAGTTGGTTAATATGTGCCCCTGCATGCTGAATCAATTCAGATTGCCTAGACTTCCTGAGACTCCGGCAGCTACTCCTCAGCTCACATCCAAAGAGACTAAACTGCATGATGAGTAGTTATGTGAAATCACAACACTCCCTGGAATGCTTCGGAAAGCCTCTCACTACTGTTTGCTGGGCTTTATCTTCCTAGGTCCCAGAGATCTCCAATAGGGGTTTTATTCACCAATTTAATCATATTTGTCTGTTATGGCCTTTTTTATAGAAAACTAATCTTGTTTCAGTATGTGAACAGGCTCAGATGCTTGAAGAGGAAAAAAGGATGTACTTGGCTCCCTTCACACTAACACAACTAAAATAGAAAGGGATTGGGACAAAGGTTACAAAGAGAAGCACATACTTAGAGGGAGCTTGACTAACAAGCAATTACAGTAAAATGGAAAAATTGCTTCTGATTACATGGTAAATTCTGAGTCTGGTAATAAGAAAATACTGTGTTTCTGCTAAAATTATACAATGGGGCGAAGACAGCATCTTCAACAAATGGTGATGGCACAATTGGATGAGGGTGTGCAGAAGACTGCAGATAGACTCATGTCTGCCGCCATGCACAAAACTCAAGTCCAAATAGGTCAAAGACCTCAACATCAATCCAGCTACATTGAACCTCTTAGAAGAGAAAGTAGGAGGTACCCTTGAACAAATTGGTATAGGATACCGCTTCCTGAACATAACTCCAGGGGCACAGACACTGAGAGAAACAATTAATAAATGGGACCTCTTCAAACTTAGAAGCTTCTGTAAGGCAAAGGACATAGTCGACAAGACCAAACGGCAGCCCACAGACTGGGAAAAGATTTTCACCAATCCAAAATATACAAAGAACTCAAGAAACTAGTCAACAAAATACCAAATAACCCTATTAAAAATGGGGTACAGAACTGAAGAAAGAATTCTCAATAGAGGAAATCAAAAAGGCTGAAAGACACTTAAGAAAGTGCTCCACATGCTTAGCTATCAGGGAAATGCAAATCAAAACAACTTTGAGATACCATCTTACTCCTGCCAGAATGGCTAAAATTAGAAACACCAATGATGACTCATGTTGGAGAGGATGTGGAGAAATGGGAACACTCCTCCAGTGCTGGTGGGAGTACAAACTCATACAGCCATTTTGGAGATCAGTATGGCAGTTCCTCAGGAAAATTGGAATTAGTTTACCACAGGACCTGGCAATCCCCCTCTTAGGCATGTACCCAAAGGATTCACATCCATGCAACAAAGACATCTGTTCAACTATGTTCATAGCAGCACTATTTGTAATAGCAAGTACCTGGAAGCAACCTAGATGCCCCTCAATTGAAGAGTGGTTAATGAAGATGTGGCACATCTACACAATGGAATAGTACTCTGCAGAAAAAAAAAATAATGGTATCTTGAAATTCACAGGCAAGTGGATGGCACTTGAAGAAACCATCCTGAATGAGGTAACCCAGTCACAAAAAGAAGAACACAGTATGTACTCACTCATATATGGATTTTAGACCTAGATCAAAGGATCACCAGCCTATAATTCACACCACCAGAGGAACTAGGACACAAGGTGTATTCTAAGAGATTCATATAAAGTCCCTCAAAGAACCAGGAAAAGACAAGTACCCAGAGCTCATGGGAAGTGGGGGGGGGGCAGCGAATGGAGAGAGAAGTAGGAGAAAACGAGGGGGAGGAAAGGAAAACATGTGCAACCAGGAAGATTGAGCCTGGTTAGGAATAGAAGATAGTAGAGAGAGAGAGAGAGAGAGAGAGACAGAGACAGAGACAGAGAGAGAGAACATAAAAGAGGGAGCCAATATTGGTTTGAAGATAAAATTGAACACAAAGAAAGGTCTAGAGAACTACAAGACTGCTCCCAACTAACAATCTCAGCTTCCGTGGAAAGGCTATCATAAATGCCCTTCCCGGAGAGTGAGATCAACAACTAACTTCTCCATGGAGCCCTCAACTAATGCCTGTTGAAAACAGGATCAAACACCCATACATAAACACTGAGTCGAACTAGAACCCAGATGCAGATGGAGAGGACAAGACCATGAGGCAGAAACACATAGAGACAGCTTACCTGAACAAGGAGGAGCTAACAGCCACTAGACTGATAGCTGGGAAGCCAGCATGGGACTGACTCAGGCCCCCCTGAATATGGGTCTCAGCCAGAAGGACTGAGCAGTCTAAGGGACCTCAGACAGTGGAGCCAGGATGTATTCCTGGTGCACAAAAGGACTTTGAGAACATATCCCCCTTGGAGGGATAACTGCCTTAATCTAGACACAGGAGTGAAGCCCTAGTCCATACTTCACATGACCCGTCAGATCTACATGACCCCAACTGGATGGCATTCCCCTGCATATGGAATTGGGGTGGTGGGGATGGGAGGGGAGGGTGGTTAGAGTGCATGTGAGAGGGCAGAGAGGGTAAAAGGGAGGGAGGGAGGAAGGGAGGGAGAAAGGGAGGGAGGGAGGGAAGGACAGGGAACTGGGATAGACATGTAAAATAATAAATTAAATTAAAAAAAAAATGCTTTGACTCCAAAATTTAAGTTCAAGGACAAGTTACTGGGGAAAAGGATTTCTATTTTTGTTTCCACAGAAAATGAAAAGATGTGGATTCCTTCCAGACTAATGTGGTTTGATCAAGCCAGACCACCTGAAACAGAGTACCAGGTGATCCTACATTCAAAACAGCTGGACAAAGCAGCCTTACAGACTACAGCCAGGATATCTGAATCTTCTTCGAATCCCCCATGACAGTGCCCCTTATCAGCAGGAAGTAGTTTGGAAAGAACGAGGCCCAAATTCCCAAATATTGTCTATAAATGTTTGTTTTCATTTAAATGGACTTGGTTATATAAAATAAATTTAAAAAAAGAGAAAATACTGTGTTTCAAGTGGATAGGAGAAAGAATTCTGAGTAGTTCCATCTGTATACGTATATGGAAACAATACATGGCACCCAGTAACTATGCATATTTGATGTCAACTAAAACTAAAAATAATAAGAGAAAATTAATTAAAACAAATGCTTAATTATACTTTGAATTAACGTTATTTACAAATATAAACTCTAGCTAAATTATAAAATTAAACACAAATAACACCATGAAACCAATCAGTCCCCAGAAATATAGCATTTTTAAGAAAGGAGAAAAAAATCTTTTCTACTTAAGGACTTTAACATATCAAAAAACAATGAAAACAGTGAGAAAATGAGTTCATAATTGTGAGAAAGGGTTCTATATGCAAAACAAAATGTGTGGATATGTTTCTGAAGAAAACTTACACAAGATTATTAGGGTCAATAAGACAAAGAAATGAATGAAGGAAAGAAGGAAAGGTGGAAGGAAGGGGGAAAAACAGGAGATTTAAAATTACATACATGGAAAGGTGTGCTTAAAAACACAATGCCCCTAATCACTAAGAAACAGCATTTCTGAGAGGAGAGGACATTTGTAGAGAGTGAGTACATCTCAGCTTCCCTTAGTGCAGCAGAAAAATCAAATCACGTAGAAAAAGTTGCTTTTGCAAGCATATTCCTCAAAGCTCCTTTCATATCCCTATTCCTCAGACTGTAAATAAAGGGATTCAGCATGGGTGTGACCATAGTGTACAGCACAGATACAATGACATCCTTATCATTAGTGTTGTTAGATGAGGGGACAAAATATAGTCCAATGATGGCACCATAATAGAGGGAAACCACAGAAAGGTGAGAGCCACATGTGGACAAGGCTTTGCATATTCCCTTGATTGATGGAGTTCTCAGGATAGTGGCTCCAATTCGGCCATAAGAGACCAGGATGCATATGAATGGCACAGTGATGACTAGTGATCCCACAATGAGGATGACCAGCTCATTGATGGAGGTGTCTGAGCTGGACAGCTTAATTAAAGCAGAGAGATCACAGAAGAAGTGGTGGAGAGTGTTACCTGTAAAGAAAGAGAGACGAGCTAAAAGGACTGTGTGCACAAGGGCACCAGCAAAGGATAAGAACCAAGATGCAAAGACCAGTAAGATACACACACTCTGACTCATGATTCTGGTATAATGGAGGGGGTGGCAGATGGCCACATATCTGTCATAGGCCATTGAGGTGAGAAGAAAGCTGTCAAGATCTGCAAAAAATAGGAAAAAATACACCTGGGAAATACACTCAGCATATGAGATAGATTGACTGTGTGTCAGCATATTCATGAGCATCTTAGGAGCTGTGACTGATGAGAAAGAGATGTCTGTGAAGGCCAAGTGGCTGAGGAAGAAGTACATGGGGGTGTGGAGGTGAGAGTCCAGCCTGATGAGCAGGATGATGAGCAGGTTCCCCAGCACCGTGGTCAGGTATGTCACTAGGAACAGGGTACAATACAAGTCTTGGTCCTCTGGCAAGATGGGGAGCCCCAGTAGGATGAACTCAGATGTACTGCTCTCATTCCTTGTGTTCCTCATCTCCTAAAGTAACAATAGTTACATATTAACAATAAATATCAAGAACTAATGAAAGCAATATTAACTTTATCTAAAATTCTCAAACTTTTGAACACTAATGGGAAGTTAGTGACTTAGAAGCCAGTTCAACATATTTTGAGGAACTTTGAAACATAACAATTATCAAATAAGAAAACATTAGCTTTGATGGAATTCTAAGATAGGGAATGGAGTGAAAGGTCAGTTCAGCCATCTATTAACAGCAAAACTAGCCAATGATGTATAATAGTGTGCTAACCTCTTGACCCTCTTCACAACTCTAGAAGCATATTGGCTAATTATTTATATCTGGGACTTTATTGAACTTGAAATAAGCCAGTGGGCATCTGTGAAGCTAGAATATATGTTTTAGATACTTAAGGGCATAGATCTATATCAATAACATGAAGTGACTTCTACACATCCTTCATATCTTCCCCATTCCAGCATCTCTAATGGTCTGTCACTCTTTCTAAAACAGTTTTCATGGAATATGCATAAAAGGTCTGTGTCACTTTTGAGTTTTCTTGTGTGTTCTCTCCAACAACCTAATTTTTCTTTTTCAGGTTCATAGGATTCAACTTCTCTAGCTACATCTGGAATCTGCCAAGAAAACACTTGGTCCCTGTCTAATGTAATCCACTGGTCCTAATATGGATTTCTTTTGTTAATTACTCATAAGTGATATTTTCTTTTGTTGTGTTGCTAACATTTCACTTATTATTGTTGCCCTCTTTATTGGTTGAAATTATAACTTTTCATGAGAACATCAAAACATAATAGTAAATAAAATGTGCTAATCTGTGAAACACATATCCATGTTTCATAAATAAAATAAATCTGAGTGCTTTTGCTTGAAAGCCCAAGTTTGAACTAATCACTTATGTGAGAAGGGGGAATTAAAGTTTGTGTTACTACTCCAATATTTCTGTCTTTGTTGAAATTATCTTCAAAGTCTTTACATTGTCCAGTCCACTCTATACATACTCTTATGTCATTTTGTTACCAGAGATTAATTATTCATTCAGTTATATCACCCATCACTGTGTTTGTAATAATCAGTTTTTCATAATGAAACAATAATTATCAAGTTTTGGACATTGAGTTCCATTATTTTTTGCAATTTCCAGTATTACAACAAGCATCATTATCCAATACCTTTTTTAAAAAAGCACAAATGATAAATTTTCAGAATTAGAATTAAGGGACTGTTTTTATTCATGATTTTCATAAACCACCAAACACAAGAGGTTGTAGTTGGTGAGAAAGGCTATTCTTACATGTTCTGTGAAAGGAGTCATGATAGTTCAGTGTTTATAGAGGGCAGGAATTGGGCATTAGGGGGATAGAAGAAAGTCAAGACCATGATCAGTTTAGTAAATCAATGGAATTGGAATATTACTGAAAAGCAGGTGTATATAAGGCCATCTATGGTACAAAAGAGAGTTTCAATTCTCCATCTAAAACATTATTATGTACAAGGGAAGTTTTGAGTAAAGAAGTGGCTGAGAGCTTTAAACATTATACTGTTTAGTGAATAGGAGTGGGGTTACAGCAAAGCCAGGTATCAGAAGAAGCTGAACAGAGAGGGGGCTGTTGCCCCAGTTTAGATACAATATACTTACTGCATACACTTGAGTTTGTCAGTGGCAATGGATAAAGTTGCAGAGATTTAATATCAAATTTGGAAGAGAACTAGCAAGAGTTGATGGAGAATGAAGACAAACAAAGAATATTGCATCCTTCTTCCCCTGGATTAGGCACTATATGAGACTGAGATAAATTGTTCTACATGGAGCTACTGTGCTATCCTCTCTTCTCAAACTTTAGATAAATACTTGATTCATGATAAATAACTGTACATATGTCTGTGGTGTGGAGAAGAAAATCCTAAAGATAGTAGTACACAAAGCACATGTGCATTCAAATACACATACTCATACTACAGAGGACAAATTCTCCCCCTGCTTTGGCATGGCTCCTTAGATGATAAACACAGATACCTTCAATTTCAAGGCATGAGAAGATCCCTTCATTTCTCTCTAGAAGACATGTAAGACATTGTAATAAGTAGAGTCTCTAAGGGACAGAATGTTCTATACTGGCAGTCAGAAGCCTTGCCAGGTAAGAACAAAACAAGGTTAGCTATACCACTGAAACATATGCTTGCAGCTCTTGAGAATTTGGTATGAATTATAATTTTACAAACAACAGAAAGGATCCCAGAGGATAACACTGCCATCTTGAGTCTAAATTAAAGACAGGATGTAATTGCTACATTTCCATTGCCTCTTTGGGGAAAAACTACTTGTTGAAGAAGTAAAGGAGAGTTTGTAATCCCTGGAGAAATAAAACTAATAGCAACAGGGAAGCCTGTAGGAAATTTAGGTACATAAAACATTTTAGCACCTTATTTATCCTGGGGGAAATGAGCAAAGCTGGTGGTTGAGTGTGGTAACCAAAGTTCAGAACCCAATGACACCTCAAAATGACAGAAATACATCACTCTGAACAGAAGAGTGAGATGTTCATATCTCACCATCACTCACAACCCTGGGAAAGAGCATGGTTCCTGGAAAACTCAGTATTGTCTTCAAAATCAGAGGGATTGGTGTTACACAGATGCGATCCTCACAGATCCAGAAGATAGTCATCACTATAACTTTCAACTCAGCCCTGATGGGAGATGTCATTCTGTAAATATATGTCTCCTATTGGTTAATGAATAAAGCACTGTTGGCCAATAGGAAAGCAAAACAGGCAAGACTAGGAGACTAGGAGGGGAGAAGAAGTAGTAGAGGAGAGTCAAGATGGTGGACTGAGAGAGAAGAATGCCAGCCACTCTCTCCGGTAAGATGAAAGCACATGGAAGTACTTAGATTAATAGAAACGGATTACTATTTAAGACAGATCTAGCCGATAAGAAATTAGTAACTGGGGCTAGAGGTGAGTCTGGGACCAATTCAGGCGGCGTCTCCCATACACCCTCCCCCAGAACTCCCTGGGTTGGCCCCAGATACCCCTGCTACTGGGTCGTGTCTCCATCAAGAGTGTTCTTGGAGCTCTGATACACCACCACCCACCGCCAACAAGATCTTGCCCTCCCCCTACCCTGTGCCCTACATGCCCACTGTCCCACCACTCTGGGTGAGCACTAGGACAAAGGGTAGAGCCAACAGTCCAGACAACTTAGGGGAACTTCAGGGAGCACCTCTGAACACAGGAGACCTGCCTATCCACATGGGACCACCTGTAACTTCTACCTGCTTGGTCTCTGACCCCCACTGCCGGTTCTCTACTGGAGTCCCGGGCCCCTCCCAGAGATCTGCCTATCTCTGTGGGACCACTCTGAGTCCCTGCCTCCAGATCCTTGACCCCCATAGCAGGGCCTCTGCTAAATAGGCCTCAGCTAGGGAGTACCAGGCCCAGGCTACATCTGCCTATAGGCACAAGGAACATCCAGAGTCCCAGCCTTCAGGATCTTTGACCCCCATCGTCAGTCTTCTCCTGGAGCCTGATTGCTGATCCCCATCCCCGGGCCCCTGCCTATGGAGATACCTCCTAGAGAGCTTGGGCCACACAGAGCTACAGACATCGAACCTCTGACCAACATAAGCCCACCGGGAAAGTACCATACAGAGAGGAAGAGACCCCACCACACCTACTGGAAGAAGCTATGGGAAGACTGCAAAACAAGAAAACACCTAACAACACAAAGGCAAGCATGACACCACCAGAATCTAGGGAATCTATACCAACTAGACCGGAACACAACAAAACAGAGGAACCAGAAGGGAACAACTTAAAAATCACCATCATAAAAATGATAGAGGCCCTCAAAGAAGATGTGAGAAAATCCCTTAAAGAAATGGAGGAAAAACAAACAAAAAAGTGGAAGAAATGAACAAATTCCTTAAGGAAAGTACAGAAAGCCAAGAAAAAACAATTAACCAGGTGAAGGAAACGGTTCAAGACTTGAAAACTGAAATTGAGAAAATAAAGGCAACACAAACGGAAGGAATGCTGGAAATAGAAAAGCTGGGCAAAAAACCGGCAACTACGGACACAAGCATAACCAACAGAATTCAAGAGATGGAAGAGAATCTCAGGTGCAGAAGATAAACAAGAGGAAATAGATTCATCGACCAAAGAAAATCATAAAACATCCAGGAAATGTGGGACACCAAGAAAAGGCCAAACCTAAGAATAATAGGCATAGAGGAAGGTGAGGAAGCCCAACTCAAAGGTGCCGAAAACATATTCAACAAAATCACCAAGGAAAACTTTCCCAATCTGAAGAAGGACATGCCCATGAAAGTACAAGAAACATACCGAACCTCAAATAGGCTGGACCAAAGAAAAAAGACCCCTCGACATATAATAATCAAAACACCTAGCATACAGAATAAAGAAAGAATATTAAGAGCAGTGAAGGAAAAAGGACAGGTAACATATAAAGGCAGACCTATCAAAATTACACCTGACTTCTCCATGGAAACCCTCAAGGCCAGAAGGTCCTGGATAGATGTCCTAAAAGTATTAAGAGAACACGGATGCCAGCCTAGGCTACTATATCCAGCAAAACTCTCAATCAATATAGACGGAGAGAACAAGATATTTAATGACAAAACCAGATTTTCCCAATATGTATCTACAAATCCAGCCCTACAGAAAGTATTAGAAGGAAAACTCCAACCCAAGGAAGGTAACTACACCCACAAAAATGTAGGTAACAGATAATCCAACTATATCAGAAACCAAGGGTAAAGCAGAACAAATATATTCACAATACCACTGCCAACAACAAACCTAAAACAAACAAGCATCAACAATCAATGGTCCTTACTCACCCTCAACATTAATGGTCTTAACTCACCTATAAAAAGACACAGGCTAACAGAATGGATACAAAGACAGAATCCATCCTTCTGCTGCATACAAGAAACACATCTAAGCTTCAAAGATAGACATTACCTCAGGGTAAA